TATACACTGCTTTCTCTCAGAGAGAAAGTGAGGGAGAAAGAGAGTGAGAGATTGTGTGTACAGTCTCAGTGGTGGTGTGAGTGGAACAGTGGACATCGTCTCTATGTAAACAATCAGCGATAAGGAACCAGTGTGTGGTCAGCGTACTGCCACCTAGACCTGCCAGTGCTTTTGATATGTCTATGACATCAGGACCAACATAGTGATCCTTATTTTCTAAAGCACTTTTCTTGTTAAAAAAGCTACATTTCACTGTTTGCAACCCGAATTTTCCTCACTTTTCAAAATGAAACAGGCTGATGTCGTATATAAACAAAACAAAAAAACATTCACTCTCTGGTACATATGTGGAAACTAGGCTGCACAAACTGCTTGTTTTGAAAACACTGATTTTGTGATGTCACAAAAAACAACACATTCACACATATATCCATATATTCAGCCTACAGCAGTTCAGCTCTGTCCACTCAGGCTGAAGTTATAAGCTGTGTTTCAGCCCTGCTTTTTGTATGAGGCACAATACAGGACAGCTAGTCAGAACAGAAGTCATTTATATATATCAGTCTTAAAGGCACAGTGACTAAAACAGCCTGTTTGATTCCAAGTGATAAAGAGAGGTTGGAAAATGCTCATGTGAAAATGAATTATGACTGTCTTTGATACATAAGTCCATGCAAATGTCATAAGTGGAGCTCAAGAAAAATTGTAGGATGTGGGCCCTTTAAAACTGAAGGGGTAAAACTATTTCTTTTCGGTTACCAAGTTTAAAGTTATGATTGTGGTGACACTTTATTTTGAGTGTCCTTTTCAGATGAAAAAACACTCAACAGACTCTCAGTAACATGTCAAAAACATATGAGGGGTAGGATTAGGTTTTGGGCTGAGGTTAAGGTCAGGGTTAGGATTAGGACCAGGGTTAGGATTAGGTGTTGGGTAAGGTTGGTAAGGTTAGGTTTTGCGTAATGGAAGTAACATATTAACAACACATCTACTTAATGTAAGGAATGAATCAACAGAACATCTACAAGATATTTACTTCAGTGTATTCAGATGCTGCACTACTACTACTTCACTGATATGTTGTTGACGTGTTACTGATAATCTGTTGAGTTTATTAACCATCTACAGAAGACCACTCCAACTAAAGTGTTACCATAATTAGGTTTGGGGTTAGAAAATTAATAAATAATTCCATACATATAATACATGTGGGACATTTCTAACCTCATGTCCTCACACTGTATAAAAACAAACGGTGTGTATCTGTGTGTCTGTATGTTTGTGTGTCTCATTGCAGCAGAAGACCAGCTCCAATAAAGCCTTTATCTGTGGCAGGCAGACCCAGCACTGTACGCACTGACTACACCGTCACCAGCACCCCGGCCAAGCTGAACTCTCACACACACACACACGCCCACATACACACACACACACACACATACACACACACACTGACTCTCCCTACAGAACCACACAGCCAACACTGCGTCTGTCCACGAGACAACAGGGCTCTCTAACTCATATGAACATTAACACAGACATATGTGTGCACAGATAGAGTCAATGACTCTAGAGTCCAGACTGTTATTTGCCCCAGAAGAGTGTGTGTTCCAGAGGTTGTCAGTGCTTAGTGACAGTTTGGTAAAAAATCTAATTTGCATAATTTCCCTCTCACTCTAAATGTAGTTGATCCAACAAGACATGCTTGGAACAGGTATGTTTAGTTTTACGTGTGGACCATTCTACCAAATTAGATCAAACTGTTCAAAAGTCCTACAGTAAAAAAAGAACTACGTAAAAAATTAGTATAAATTAAAAGTATTCAGATCTTAGATATTTACAAGGATTATGCTATGATCTATTTAAACCCAAGGCATTAATACAGATAGTAATACGCTGAGTACGTACAAAATCATCATTTATAGGGTACTTTCTGTTTGGAGGTGTCTGTTTTTTAAAAAGTTTATTTTAAAGTGAAATTGAACTATTTAGATTCATGAGTTTAATTTTTAAATAATAAAAAAAACACTTCATTTAAAAAACACACTTTCATGTCATTACTGAAACAACAACAGTTTTAGTCTGTAGGCAGAGACTTATTTTAGCCACGCCCCTGCATTTTAGAGCAGGAAGTGAGACTGCTTCCCTGTCCCTCATGGCCACACGGTGAGCAGTTAGATCCCATTGATTAGAAGAAGATGTGTCCCAAAGTCTAAAAAAATCAGTGTGTAAACTGTCACTACCGAAACACATGGGAATGCGATCCTAATGCGTGGCCACAACTTACTAAGGCGTGGGAACGAGATCCTAATGCATGGCCATGACTTAATAAGGCATGATCTTGTTCTCACGCCTTACTAAGTTGTGGCCATGCATTATTTTTATTGATATGAGTCACCAACAGGGCTCTGCATTGTGAAGCTGAATCATGTGTATACATTTATCTCCAAAACAAAACTACAAATGAACTTATTTGAGTAAGCCCAGTGTGGGTTTCTACACTGTGTGTATGAGGAGCTATGCTGAAATGTTGTAGCTTCCTTACATGACCTCACCTGGCCATCAGCACACACTCTTACCTTTGGTCTTTATCTCTCTCACACACAAAGAACGTACAAATCAAATACGGTATACGGACTACGGTAAAGCGCTGAGGTAAACTCTACCTTTCCCTGCCTCGCACTGATAAAGGCCTGAAAATCAGATTAACAGAGTTGGAGCTGAGCTTCTAAACCCTCACACAGGCCACTGAGCCTACTGTTGTCTTTGACTAAGAAAGGAGAGGAGAGATGAGTTTCTCCAGCACCCTCCCATCTCCGTCGCTGCAGTGATGATGTTTGTGTTTGCAAACATGCAATCAGTCAGCACTAATGGCTGCCAAACTGAACCCTAATCTTTAATCGGCTGGCTAATTAGAAAACATCATGCAAATAGTGGCAGCAATTACGTCTTAATCGTGCTGTGATTGGACGAGCCAGATAAACGAACAGCGGAGGGCACGGGTGATGGGCACGGGCATCCAGGACAGAAAGGCCATCTTAAAGTGGAAGGCATCATCAGGGTTACGAGTGGGATTGTTAAACAGATGTTGTTAGCAATCAGATTGATAGCTGGGTTAACAGCGGCCAAATTGGGGGTCAAAGGCAATACGTCAAGATTCTGAAGCAGAGGGTTCAGAATGGCTTTCAGAGCACAAAGAGACGAGCTTCACTGGCACTTACATACTGTATGCCTTAAGCCAGCTGCAAAACAGTGGTGTTATGAGTGCTCTTTCAATTTCACCATTGTGACTGCAAAGCACTTTGCAGGTGGCGAAAGCTGTGCATCACCATACTGCTGTGCTCTTATTGATACATCATCATATGCTGTACTCCTATTAATGCATCATCATATGCTGTACTCTTGTTAATGTATCATCATGTGCTGTATTCCTATGAATGCATCATCATGTGCTGTACTTTCTATTAATGCATCATCATGTGCTGTACTCCTATGAATGCATCATCATGTGCTGTACTTTTATTAATGCATCATCATATGCTGTATTCCTAATAACGCATCATCATGTGCTGACACTAACTCCTATTAATGTATGATTCATATGCTGTACTCTATTAAGCATAACATCATATGCCGAATCCTATTAATGCCCATACATCATATGCTGTACTCCTATTATTACATCATCATATGCTGTACTCCTATTAATGTATCATCATATGCTGTACTCCTATTAATGCATCATCATATGCCGTATTCCTATTAATGCATCATCATATGCTGTACTCCTATTATTACATCATCATGTGCTGTACTCCCTATTAATGTATCATCATGTGCTGTACTCCTATTAATGCATTATCGTAGTGCTGTACTCCTATTATTACATCATCGAGTGCTGTACCCCTATTATTACATCATCATGTGCTGTACTCCTATTGGTGCATCATCATATGATATACTCACATTGGTGCATCATCAGGTGCTGTACTTCTATTAATATATCATCATATGTTATACCCCATTATCAAATGCTGTACTCTTATTATTACACCATCATATTGTCAGTGTTAAATCAAAACCTTGTATGTCCATTTTTGTTGTTTTTCATTTTTTATGCATGTCAAAATGTCCCTTTACACCATGTAAAAATTTCATGATGAGTGGACCAAAGCAAGTGGTCAAAAATTACATGAAAAAAAAGTATAATGTTTTTTCCTTCTCCTGTAAAGTTACCACTTTGGAGATACAAGGTTTTGTTCTGACAGCAGTGATATGCTGTGCTCCCATTAACTCATCTCATATGTTGTTCTTGTAATGCGTCATTATATGCTGTGCTCCTAATGGTGCATCATCATATGCTGTACTCTTACTATTACATCATCTTATTAAGCTGTACTCCCATCAAAGCATCATATGCTTTACTCCTATCATTACATTTTTATGTGATACTCCTATTATTACATCATCATATTCTCTACTCCTATTGGTGCGTCATCATGTGCTGTATTCCAATCCTATTACATGCTGTGTTCCTATTATTACATCATCATGTGCTGTGCTCCTATTACTACATCATTATATGCTGTGTTTCTATTATTGCAACATCACATGCTGCACTACTATTGGTGGCTTTTTTAGATGCATGCTGCAGTAGCAGTCACATTCTGAGATTTTGGTCCAAAATGAACTTTGTTGGTGACTCTTTGGTCGAAAAAAACATTAAACTGGCTTCTGGTGAGCATCTGTATATATCAACTGTATATATTAGCAGAAATAGGGGGTTCTTCCCTCCAGTAGTGGTCCATGGCACAGCCAACACTGACAACTGCCTGTGCACCTGCTGTCCTGCTCCATTAAACAACACTGTGTATTTGTTGCTGCTTACCACCCACAGCATGTGCATTATCAAAGGCAAAAACTGACTGCAGATCAGCCCTCATTCTGACAAATGACCAGTCCTGCTATGAGACATGAGGCCAGGAGTGTGTGTAACTCACCCCACAGCCCAGTCCATCACCCAGCTCACACTGAATCCTCCTGCGGTTCTCCTCAGGCAACAGACCGGCCCCACAGCCCGGAGCAGGACACAGAACTCCCCCCATCTGCAGCAAACACTCTTCAGCAGCGTAACGCTGATACCGCTCATACTAAGACAGAGAGAGAGAGAGAGAGACAGAGAGAGAGAGAGTGAAACATCACTAAAGAGACAGATCTGGATATTTGCTGCAGCATGATAATCTAAAGCCACAACAGTAGAATCCTCCTTGACGGGCCTGTAACCGCTCGCTGTGCAAACACTTTGTGTGAAGCTGAAATCACTGTGAAAACTTCAAAGACAAAGAAAAAGTTTCCAGCGAAGGCTTTAGGAGAAAGACGAGGATGAGAAAAATCCCTCTGAGGAGAGAAAAAGAGAGAGAGAGAGAGAGAAGAGAGAGAGGGTGGTGAGGGATAGTGATGGAGGGATGCAGTGGAGTGGTGAAGGAGAAGTCTGCTTGGAGAGGGCTTATTGAGCGACACAGAGGAACAGCAGATGAACCAATTAGGACGCCGCTGGATGGGACAAGCTGACAATAAGGATGAACCTAGATTTCCCCTGAGCTCTCTGTGAGACAGCGGAGGTCTGCAAGCATATACGCACTCAGAGCTCAGACCCACCTGCTCTTCACCCAGGACCCGGAAATGATGCACCTCTTTAATGAGAGACTCAGGACATCCAGCTAGAGAGTGAGAGAGACAGAGTGAGAGAGAGAGAGAGAGAGAGAGAGAGAGAGAGAGAGAGAGGTCAAACTACGGTGAAAAATATGAAAAGTCTACTGGAAACTTGACCAGTGTCATTCCACTAAATGCAGCATTACTTCAGTCAGTTTAAAAAAACAGCTGCTGCCCTACTTTACTTACTATTAAATTAGAATAAAAGTTTAATGTTTTTCCTTCTTTTTGGAGATATGAGGGATAAAATATTTTCTTTTGTTGGTTTGCAATAACTTAACATTTTAACCTTGTGTGGAGTTCATGTGTTTGTTACTCAGTGGTCTGGTGGACCCACTGCATTGTTTTTTAAAATCAATACAGCCATAACAATTTATGTAAAAATACCAGATGTTTAAAATATCACAGGTGGCCAGCACAGGGTTCTCCTTTAGCAGCTGTAGCCAGTCAGCAGCCTGTCCATGTTGTCCACCCTCACACACACTAACATTTACAAACACATACACACACAGACACACTAACAGCAGGCCGTGTAGGAGGAGAACAGAGTGAGGGACACAGCACCTCCACACTTTTACTCCCCGTGGGTTCACCCCAACACCACATATATAATATAAATGTGTAGGGGGTGTAAAAAGTAATTGAAGTAATTGAAAATGTGTTATTTTATATGTTCTTCACAGAAAATGAGGCCAAGGAATCTGAGGTTGGAATAACAATAAATTGCATAATTTTTTCTTTTGGTAAACATTGAAAATGGGTCCCACAGACCTGAACACCACACAAGGTTAAAGACTAACCAAGGTTTATTTTGAGGAAAATAACAGCTTGAATAAACATGTATTTGTATTTGTGACAGTGCTACTTTGACAATAATGTCATATCATTCATTTTATCTCCTTGTCGTGAAATCAGCACTCAAACCTTTCAGGGATCAAACCACTTTTGCTGAGAAATTTTCATAGGTGAATTATGTGAAGATGCAAGAGGTGGAAGGGGTGGAACACCTAGTTATGAAAAAGCTAGTTAAGGAGGATGAGGAGATATCTGAGCATGTGGGCAGTGAGAAACGGTTAATTAAAGTTACTTAGCTAACATTAGCATTGATTGTGGCATATTGCCTGTCATGACTATCAATTTAAGACAAAAACTTTTATCAGTTTTCATTTTATTGTTATCTAGCCACCTTGCTTATCTCAGTATAGCATATAAACAATAAATAAGAGATAAGAATAAGAAGAGAATATGAAAATGCACAGATCTTAGAACAAGTTATGTTGAAAAAGGCAATGCTGTGTGTAGAAGGAAAAATATAGTTAAGAGTTTTAGGTGGGCTGGTCGGGATCATAACTCCCAATCTGAAAACAAGTCCCAATCCGGCCCTGCATATAGGTGCAATTTGTAGTTCTACAATTACAGACTGTAGTCCACCTGTTTCTCTGCATACTTTGTTAGTCTCCTTTCACCCTGTTCTTCAAAGGTCAGGACCCCCACAGGACCCCCCCCAGAGCAGGTTACTATTATTTATGCAATTCCCATCAAAAAATTCCCATGCAATAAAAAGTTATTCGGTTTTCAGCATCAAAAATACAGAACCATTAATTATAATATTTTTTCAGTATGTAGTGTGTCTTATTACAGCTTCTATCCCCTTCAAAAAACCTGCTTTTGGCTTTTAAAGAAATCTGTAAGGAAATTTGTCCCAAAGTTCATTCTTAGAAGTTTCCCTTTCTCAGTGAGGCTTCTTTACAGCTACACATCCTTTCAGACCCATAGTGCTGAGTCGTCTTCTCACAGTGGAAGGATGGACAGAAACACCTGTGGATGTTTTCAGATCTGAAGCAGCTTGATTTTCTCCTCTCTCTCAAAGATGAAAGCTTTAAGTGCTGTTTATCTGACAGGGACAGTTTTATTGGTCCACTAGGTCTTGACCAGTTGTTTGTGGTCCCATTTTCACTTGACTTTTTCCTTTCTTATGTAGGTCGATTATATTATATCTAATATGCTCAGAAATATCTCTTGAAAAATTAGTATCTACAGTTTGGCCTGGAAATTAAATAAACGAAGAGCCGTTTCAGACAAAGTGCTGCATTTCTCTTACTGCAAAACTTCATAACAAAGCAAAACTTCCCTAAATGTCCAGCAGGCAGTGAGGATTTATACATTTACTGTATAACGACACGTAACAACCGTTGAGTTTGGCTAGTTCAGCTGAGTCCAATTCAGCTCTGAAAGAGACATTTTAACTGGGCAATTTCATAATTTCTGTAAATGTCAAGAGCTTCATATGGCTTTCGCTTTAATAATAGCAATGCAGTTACACACAGGTATTTTTCTTACTAAAAGGGCCCATATGCTACACTGTTCTTGCCGTTTATCCTTGACATCCACTTATTTAATTTGTGTGGTTTTATCTACCAAAAACATGGCTGTCCAGTACTGTGCTTCTTTCAAAAAGCAGTCTGGGATGAAACACTCCTTATAACTTCAGTGTGAATGGGCGGAGCTAAACTGCTGAAGGCAGAATAGGTAGATATTTGTAAACACATATGATTTTGTGACACTGTGAAAACAATAAATTCTAAACAGGCTGTTTTTTCAGCTTTGTTTTCATACATGATTTGTATGGACTGGGGAGTGAACCTATTCAACAGTGTTTACATGCTACATCAACCACTTTTATCTCAAAAAAGTGAGGAAAAGTCTATTTCACTTGATATGGTCCCTTTAATGTATGTCCAACAACTGCCCTGTATCGTGACTAGCATATTAGCGTGTGGCTACAGCATTGGATTGGATACTACAAAATACACCTTTGTTTTAAATATGGCAATATAAATATAAAGCATATTTTGTGTCATTCTTTATTTTTGCTGTATTGAAAAATCTATTAAATTGAGACAAAACAGTATCATATGGAAAAAATAAAATATAAATAATCATTGCAAAGCGACACTGTTAGAAATAAAGGTTCTGTGCAGGTACATTTTTTGTTCATCAAGATACAAACAATGAAAATGTATCCTCGATGGTATAACAGTGGTTTTAAGGTTCAATTGTGTACCTTAAATAAGTTTTTCCAGGTGAAAAGTATATATATATATATATATATATTATATATATATATATATATAATATATATATATTTGTGTTTTTTCATAATCTAACGTTTTAAAACAGAATAATAATACTAATTTCAATGGATTATGGTACAATTATGCTCCCTGACTAAAGGTACTGAGATGTACCCTTGAGGGAACCACCCCAGTGAAAAGAGGGTTCCTGCCCCAGTGACAGTTTAGTACCTTTTTTTCTGAGAGTGTGCTTGGATGAATATCCCACAGTTACCATTTTTGCGCATACGTACATTTTGGAATTTATTCACAATCAAATTATATTTTTCTTGTTTGTTTTGTTTTGTTAAAAATTCCATGTGACCAAAAGACTGGATATAATATGATAAATTAAGTGCTAAAATCACTTTTAAACCACATGCTTTGATGGATGCAATTTTTTTTTCAAATCTGTGCTCAGGAAAACTCAGAGAACATATATATATGGAAAAAAGCCTTTCAGATTTGTACATTAATGTGTCCATTGCAAAGTAACAGTAAGGAAAAAATAAAAAAGCAAGGTGTCCCCAAGCTTTTGACATGCAGCGTGAACTAGGATATATCGCAAGACACGCATGCACACTAATGAAAAACTCAGCCCGGCACTCCTCGCACTGGGGCGTATTCACTGAGAGCACCTCAGGGTCACCCTCGAGAGGAGAGGAGCTTCATTTGAGGCTCGGTGCATTTCCACAAGAAGAGGATGAGAGGTTTAATGGGAGAGCAAAGCAGAGAGGTCCCTCAAAATCTACAGCCCAACAAAGAGACCACCCCTTCAAACCTTCTGAGTATTATGCATGGCAAATGGCTGGAGATGAATGTGTGCAGGAGTGTGAGTGTGTGTGCACGTGTGACCTCAAAGTGGTGGCGGCCCACTGCTCTTCTTTAACAAGCCATGCTGTAATGATGTGCTCCTTTGGACCAAAGGCTTCTACCAGGAACGACACACACCAATTACCCCTCAGGAGACTAATGACCGCTCTAATCTGCATATGATAGTGTGCACATGCACAGCTTCTTCATACGTATGTATGAGAACTGGAAATAAGCACTCTGGGGGGATATTACAGTGTGGGTCATTCTACATGGAAAATGGCACACATTGACAAAAAGCAAATGGATGAAAGGGAAGAGGAAAGAGAAAGAGAATGTGGCTGTCCTCAGTACTTCTTGCAAAACAAATCCAATGTAGTTTGATTGGTTTATTGTTCCAACACAAATTTCTGAATAATTAAAGGTGAACGACTGTGGATATTTTACCTCAACAGCAAAAAACATACTCCCCTCCCTTCATTGCTCCTTCAGAAGCTACTCCAGCCGAATTCATGGCCAAGACGAACAACACTGGGCTAGCAGAAGCTTTTTTTAGATCTTCATGCTCATAAAACCCTTCACAAACATTGTACAGACCATGACTAACACTAGAGCAAACAACAACACAGCAACCAGTCCTAACCAGTCAGGATTAGCTATCACAAACTTCAGCAAACAAAACAAAACAATACTGACCTATTGGCTCTGTGAAACAGCAAAAATAAGTTAATGTTACCCACCTGTCAAGCAGAAACAAAGCAACCTCCTCATCCCTTTTCATGCCTTTCAACTCTCAACGAAGCCGAAATCGGCTTCTTTCACATCAGCTTCTTGTTCAAATTTTTCTGTTCTTCTTTAAATGGTGCAGTAGTTACTCTTTTTTCCTGCAACTGACATCCCCCACATTTAACAACCTTTTCCAACTTCTAAAATGTCTACACTGAATAGCCAATAGTCTTGTAAGCCAGACCTCTGCATTGCTAATAGAATGAGACACTCTGGAGCAGCTGCACATGAGCCTAAAGTCACCAGGGCAAGTGCCAAGTGTTGGCTTGTAAAGTGTAAAGATGTAGAAGTGAGCC